TTTCTAGCCAATCCCTATGCATCGTCTCCCCTCCATGATGCACCATGTGTATCTGAGAGGAAGTGATATGGGGCTGGGGAAGTAAAAGGGAAGGTGGTGAGGCACAACTGGTGACCCAGGGAAGCTGTGGAGGGCCTGGATTTCTCAGCAAGGAAAGTAACCTTTTCACATTCAGCTGTACCTCTGGTCTTTTGGTCCCAGCCAGACTTATTATGAAGCCACCAAAGCCTAAGTTTTAGGACCCCTCCCCAGCACAGGCCAGTGCAAGGCCTGGAAGGGGCTCCAGCTAAGTATAGTTGACACTTTAAGAATGTAGTGGTTAGGGGGTGCCAACCCCCTGCACAGCCAAAAATGCACCATAACTTTTGAGTCCCCCAAAACTTAACTACTAATAGCCTGTTATTGCCTGGAAGCATTACCAATAGCCTAAGCAGTAGATGAACATGTATTTTGTATATGTGTTATAAACTGTATTCTTGCAATAAAATAAGCCAGAGAAAAGAAAATGTTATTAAGTGATGTGGTTTGGCTCTGTGTCCCCACCCAAATCTCATCTTGTAGCTCCCATAATTCCCACGTGTTGTGGGAGGGACCTGGTGGGAGGTGACTGAATCATGGGGGCGGGTCTTTCCCATGCTGTTCTTGTGATACTGAATGGGTCTCACGATATCTGATGGTTTTAAAAAATAAGAGTTTGTCTGCACTTGCTCCTCCTTGCCTTCTGCCATGATTGTGAGGCTTCCCCAGCCCCACATATGGGACTGTAATTCCAATTAAACTTTTTTCATTTGTAAATTGCCCAGTCTCTGGTATGTCTTTATCAGCAGCGTGAAAATGGACTAATACATGAAGAAAATCATAAGGAAAAGAAAATCTGTTTACTATTCATTAAGTGGAAGCGGATCTTCATAAAGGTCTTCATCCTTATCATCTTCATGTTGAGTAGGCTGAAGAGGAGGAGGTAGAAGAGGGGTTGATCTTGCTCTCTCAAGGGGTGGCAGAGGTGGAAGAAAATCTGCATATAAAATCTGCAGGGTTCAAACCTGGGTTGTTCAAGGATGAACTGTATTCACCTGGTCAGATTTTTTTTGTGGCAAGTACATTCTCAGAGTGACCTTTAGACCATTCTACATGTCTTGATACAGACCAAGCAAATGTTTTAAAATTCATAACCATTAAAAATCAAAAGAGGAAAGACAATCCTACTTAAAGAGAAAAAATGGGCAAAGGACATAGACTGAGACACTTCAATAGATGCTCTTAGATATTTAACAGTGATGATGAAGAGTGACATCCCTTCCCACTCTGCCATCCCTCCTATCACACCTCCCCTGCAGGAAGGTGGTGTTGGAGGGGCTGTGGGTATTGTAGGGATGCCACTAAGGGAAAGTTTAGTTGGGAATGCATTTATATTAGGCTTAGTGGGGATATAGGGTTCACAACACCTGTGAGTAGAGTCATGTAATCGCCAGAGTTGTAATGGCTGCAGGATTCCTCCTGCTGCTTGCACACTGGCTCCACTTCTCTCATATAGTGATACAAAGTTGCACGGCTGGCAGACTTAAGGCTCACAAGACCTTGTGCCATGTGGCCTTTGCTGGCAACAGGCCTCTGCCAGCAACAGGTAGTGGAGAAGAAACAAGGTTAAAAATGTAGGGAAGCCAATCATGTGCAATTGCTTCAGTGAAGCCTTTGTAAAACAAATATTCTCAAGGATGTAATGTACATAAAATCACCCTGTGGATTTTTTTCTTTTATAATAGTAATCATGTAAAATAGAATTGATCAAAATTCCTACAGTAGGACAGCAGAAACCTATAGCTACACTTCAAAAAGCCAGGAGGTCGAGACCAGCCTGGCCAACATGGTGAAACCACATCTCTACTAAAAAGAAAAAAAAAATTAGCTGGGCATGGCAGGAGGTGCCTGTAATCTCAACTACCAAGAGGCTGAGGCAGGAGAATCACTTGGACCCGTGAGGTGGAGGTTGCAGTGAGCCGAGATAACACCATTGTACTCCAGCCTGCACAACAAGAGTAAAACTCCATCTCCAAAAAAAAAAAAAAAAAAAAAAAAAAAAGTACATGTGTGTGTGAAATTAAAATCACATGATTTTTGCATCCCAGATATCTAGAGTTAAACATTTTTTCCGTTTCCATTCCCCATGCTAGAGGAAGGACTGAATTATCTATTTCTAGAATTTAAAACATTATTACAAAATTGTTGTCATGTGAAGGGGTGGATCAAAGGGTGTACAACCAACACATAATATAATAGTATAATAATGGGTTGGTTGTACACTCTTTGATCACCTTATATATGTATATTATATAAGAAAAATATATAATAAAAGCACTTCAGCAGTTAATAAAAATATCATGTACATTTTCTGGATTTGTTATGTGGATATATATCAACATTATAAATTCATAATTTATTAGAATTAATTTTCTCATTCTAAGTCAATATTGTCTCATACCTAATTCTGTATTCACAATTTTGTCTTCTCATCTTTAATAGGGCTTCCCCTCAATTGTACTACTTTCAAGCCTATAAAATCTAGATTATTGTTCCCCTATTTCCTTATTTCTTTTCTTATACAGTTTAGATTTCAGGGACTGTAGGAGTTCGTTTTCACGCTGCTGATAAAGACATACCCGAGACTGGGCAATTTACAAAAGAAAGAGGTTTAATGGACTTACAGTTCCACATGGCTGGGGAGACCTCACAATAATGGCAGAAGGGAAGGAGGAGCAAGTCACACCTTACATAGATGGCAGCAGGCAAAGAGAGAGCTTGTACAGAGAAACTCCCCCTTATAAAACCATCAGATCTCATGAGACTTATCCACTATCATAAGCATAGCATAGGAAAGACCATCCCCCATGATTCAATTACCTCCCACTGGGTCCCTCCCACAACATGTGGGAATTGTGGAAGATGCAATTCAAGATGAGATTTGGGTGGGGACACAGCCAAACCATATCAGGGACCAACATCACACTGCTGTTTTGCAAGCATCCCTAACACTGTTGGCATGTTCTCCATTTCCCTAGTAAAACTTCAGCCATGTCTAAGCACAACTAAATACCTACTTAGCACATACACACAAGTCACCAAACTGAGCCACCAGAAAACACAACACTGGTGCTGATTTGACTCACTTGAAATTCAGAACGACCAAGTTTAAATGAGCTCAAACTGTTCAGCAATCCTATGCACTTTTGTTGTATGTCTCTCACTCTGAAATAATCATGCCACTGTGGGTTCTCTTTGTTCAAATCTCCTACCTCTCTTCTTGCCCAAATCTTCACTCTCAGTTGCTGCACATTTCATTGATACAATGGGTGCCACCACATGAAACTTTCTTTTCTCACCAATAAATTTTTCGGTACATCTTGCCTTCTTTGATGAATGAAGTGTCTTTGCTTGGATTAAAGACTAAACCCTCTACTTAATTCTGGCTTCATACTTTTCCTGTAAATTTCACCTGTCTTTCTGGCATCACAAATGCATCCCTTTCTACTGGATCATCCCAATTACCACATTAAATCTGGTATTTCCTGTCTTTAAAGGAAAGAGGGGGAAAAAGGAGACAGAGACAGAGAGAGAGACAGAGAGTGAGAGAGAGAGACTTCCTAAATCCCTATAAGTTTCCCAGCTGCTGCCCATTTCTCTGTACCCCTACATAGTAGATCACCTCAAAAGACGTTTCTGTAGCCATTCTATAGCCATCTCCAATACACACACACGTACACACATCCTCTCCCAAATCAGACTACTTCTCACTACCTTCACAGCTGTTATTGAAGCCCAAACCACCATCATCTCTGGCCTAGATAACTTGAATCAACCAACTGATTTCACCCTTACCCTCACGTTCAGTTCGTTAAATAGCAGCAGGATCAGTATTTTAAAATGCAAAATCTGGTTAAACCCCCTATGATGACTTCAATGGTTTCCCATCACATCTACAAAAAATTGAAACCTCTTTTCCTAGTTTTCAAAGACTCTGATGATCTGGCATCTTTTTTTCTCTCCAATTTAATCTTCCTCATGCACTTTGATCACCTCAAGTGCTGTGCTCTATAGCACATCTGATTTATTTCTATTCCTTAAGCAAGTGAATTCCTGCCTTGGGGACTCTGCAATTTCTGCTGTCTCTGCCTGGTGTACTCTTCCTCAGGATTTCCATATAGCTTTTCCTTTAATTTCTATTTATTCAATTTATCTCAAAAGTATCCTTCTCTGAAATTCCTCCCCTGAGCACTGTTTCTAAAGTAGCACTTCCTTTCCATGCTCTCAGCTTTATTTTCTTCTTAGCACAGGTCACTACCTGGCCTTCACCTGGCCACTACCTGGCCTTCACATTGACCTGTGTGTTATCTGTTTATGTGTTTACTTTTTGTCTCCTCCACTAGAACACATGTGCCTTGTGAACAAGGGCATTATCTCTGTTGTTTTCTGCTATATCTCACGGCCTAGGACGGTGCATGACACAGAGTAAAAACTCAACAAATATGTGGAATGAGTGAAAGAGTGAATGAATGGATTAGCTCTTCAGTCTACTCCTATCCCAGTCATACTTCTGAAATTGTCAAACTCACCAATCAGCTCCAGGGTGTTTCCTCTGTCATCTTTCTTTCTTCTTTTTTTTTTTTTTTTTTTTTTTTTTTGAGACAGAGTCTTGCTCTGTCACCCAGGCTAGAGTGCAATGGTGCGATCTTGGCTCACTGCAACCTCCGCCTGCTGGGTTCAAGCGATTCTCCTGCCTCAGCCTCACAAGTAGCTGGGACTGCGGGCATGCGCCACCATGCCTGGCTAATTTTTATATTTTTAGTAGAGACAGGATTTTGCCATATTGGCCAGGCTGGTCTCCAACTCCTGACCTCAGGTGATCTGCTCACCTTGGCCTCCCAAAGTATCTGTCATCTTTCTTGTTATGTGAATTATTTATGGTGTGGGCTATGAGGTTAAAATAGAGACCCCAAAATACAGTGATTGTAGAGAGAATTTACTTTATTTTTTTCACAAGGGAGTCCAAATGGCAGTAGGCAGTCCACAGCAGACAGATGGCTCGCTTCTTAAGAGCATTCAGGTTCCTAGGTTCCTTTCACCAGTTTCTCTGATATTCCTCGGAGTACTGTCCTCATGTGCATGATGGAAGCTGAGCCCCTTCCATGTCCACATTCCAGCCTATGGAAAACCAGGAAAAGAGAAAGGGGGCATGCACACCCAATACTGTAAGGCCAAGTATAGCACATTACATAAGCTTCTTTTTCTCACACTCCGCTGACTCGAGCTCAGCCTCATGGCCACATCTAGCTGCAAAAGAGACTGGGGAATGTGGTCTCCATGTAAGTGGTTTTGTGTCCAGCTAGAGCTCAGTGGTTTCTATTACTAAAAGAAAAATGGAGAAAATGGGTACAGAGAACAAGCAGGAGTCTCTGCCACATCTTACGCGTATTTGTTACAGAGGATCATTCTCTCCTTCATAGAATACTTTTGTTCTTTTGGCTTCAGTGACACCACCACACTCTCCTGGTTTTCCTCCGGCCCCTCTGCCTACTCACTCAATCTCTTTTGCTGGGTGAACTTATTCTGTTTGAACTCTGCATGTTGGACTTCCTGAAGGCTTCGTCCTGTGCCATCTTTTATTCCTTCCATCTACATGCTTCTCTAGGTAATTTTATTTAATTATGTGATTTTTATACACCACATTGATAGAAATAATTTCTGAATTTATGTCTTTAGCCATGACCTTTCCCTGGAGCTCCAAATTCATATATCCAGTCACATAATTAACATAGCTGATCATAACTCTTGGTTGCTTGGGCTACCCATGCCCCTCTCCCAAGCCTGCTCCTGCTTCAGTTTTTTGCATTTCAAGAAACAGAGAAATAGTTTCAGCATCATTCCAGGTGCTCAGACAAAAACCTTAGGTAACATTCTTAGCTTAGTTCTTCTCTCACTTCCCCTCATCCAGTTCATTGACAAGTTTATACCCTCAACCTCCAAAGAAACATATCCTGAGTTTGTTAACTTTTTTCTGTCTTCCCCATTACCAGCCTGAGCCCAGCCAGCCTCACCATTTTACTGGATGACTCATCTTCCTGCTGCCACTTTCACTGCCAACAAGCCAACCTTACACAGTGCCCTAAGTGATGAATTAAAAACATAAATCGGTTCATGTTGATCATTGAACCCTTTCCCATCTCACCTTGAATAAAACCCAAACTCTCTACCCTGGTCTACAAAGCCCTACAGGGACTGGCACCATCCACCTCTCCAGCCTCATCTCATGTCACCTGCTTTCTCAATGACCCACTCCCATCACAGTGGCACATACCAAGTCTATTTCCATTTTAGGGAAGATATGAGGCAGAAAGACCTTAAATGGATGTTTTCTCTGCATGAAATGCTTGTGCCCCAGATCTTCCCCAGGAAGCTCCTTCTCATCCTTTAGGTCACACTGCAAAGGTCAACTCCTTAGAGAAGTTGTCTCTGTCCACGCAGTCTGCGGTAGACTCGCCCTTTCAACCCACCACTCTTAGTCGCATCACCCTGTCTTATTCTCTCAATAACAGGTAACACTACCTAGCAAAATATATGTGTTTATTCGCTGTCCATATGCCCTCACAGTGGATGTGAATTTCATGGGAGCAGGGCTTGTCTTGGGCCCTACTGCAATCCAGGGCCAGGCACACGTTGGGCCCTCAGTAAGGATCTGCTGAATGAATGTCTGAATACAGCTCCAATTCTGGAACCTCTTTAGCATCCCAGGAGTATTCTAAAGAACATGACAGCGTGAAGAAAAAGTCTATATTTCCAACGTCTTTTAAAGACTTTTTCCAAACTGCCTTAGTACCATAAAATCTGCTTTTCTCTTCTATATAAGGACGCAAAATTATATTCTCCTTTAGTAAATGCACTCAGGCATATTCAGGAGAGACCACAGCTTGTAGTGCTCAGGTTCTTACTCTGAGTCCATGGACCTTCTAGGGGTCCATGGATGTGCTGAAATTATATGCAGAAGATACATTCATTTTTCTGGGAGGTAGGGTCATAGGTTTGTTGGAGACTCAGAGGGGGTCAGTGGCCCAAATAAAATCCACTTTATTGTGGAAAAAGTATTAGAGACCAGGCACGGTACCTCGTATCTGTAATCTCAACACTTTGGGAGGCTGAGGTGGGTGGATCACTGAGGTCAGGAATTTGAGACCAGTCTGGCCAACATGGCGAAACCCCGTCTCTACTAAAAATACAAAAAAACAAAAACAAACAAACAAAAAATTGCCGGGCAAGGTGGCAGGTGCCTGTAATGCCAGCTACTAAGGAAGTTGAGGCAGGAGAATCACTTGAACCTGGGAGATGGAGGTTGCACTGAGCCAAGATCACGCCACTGCACTCCAGCCTGAGTGACAAAGTGAGACTCCATCTCAAAAAAAAAAAAAAAAAAAGGTTTAGAGACGGACTTGCAAGATCTGTATTTGAGTTCTGGTGATGTCAGTCACAAATAATGCAAATTTGTGCAGATTATGTAATTTATTTAGATTCTAGTTTTCTTATCTTTAAAAATAATCGGACTCACATGTATTCTGACTTACACATACCCACACTTAAATTATATTTAATCCCATCACAGGATGCTATGTGCTTTACTGTATCTCCCAGGTAATGACAATGAGGTTCAGAGTCTACTCAGGCTACTTGCCCCAAATCACATTTGTCCCCATATAAGTTCTGGATCAAGACCCATGCTTCTCCCATGCTTCAAATTGCCTGCTATTTTATTTATTTTTTTTATTTAGACACAGTCTCGCTCTGTCACCCAGGCTGGACTGCAGTGGTGCGATCTTGGTTCACTGCAACCTTCACCTCCTGGGTTCAAGCTATTCTTCTGCCTCGGCCTCCCAAGTAGCTGGGATTACAGGTGCCCACCATCACGCCCAGCTAATTTTTGTATTTTTAGTAGACACAGGATTTCACCATGTTGGCCAGGCTGATCTCAAACTCCTGACCTCAGGTGATCCACCCACCTCCACCTCCCACAGTGCTAGGATTCCAGGCATGAGCCACCATGAGCAGCCTGCTCTTTACATAAGAGTTTGCAGTATCATCATTCTGCAGTCCAATTTCTCTGGGTGAAATAACGTCTTGGACCACTTCACAGCAAGTACCATAGAGAAAAGCAGCTAGCTGGTGATGTAGTTTCCCAGCCAGATAAGCACACTCCTGAACCACAGCACAGCCCTGTGAACCCAGGAGTATGGGCTTTATAATCCATTCTTGAGAGAAGAGAAAACGAAAGCACAAAGAGATTAAGTAATTGACTCTAGGTCAGAAGGTTAGTAATTTTCAGGGCTTAAAGATTATGCTTCATGATGTAGTGTTTTCTTAAATTTTCTACTAAGATGACCTTGAGAATCTCTACTAAGATTCTTCACTAGAGAGCTGACTCTTATCTTCATAGTTTAGTATTTGGCTGTTCTTCAAAAAATTATTTTAAAGTACTTTGCAAAGCTGGAGTAATATTTTTTTTCTAAGAGGACAGGAAGATACGTAATGTGCCCATTGAACAAGGACTAATGACATTGTTAGGAAGGAAGGAAAAAGGATATCACTTCTACATCGATTTCAGTTTTTATGCATTAACACCAGACAATGACCTCTAAAATGAGAAGAGCGCTAGCTTAACATTGTAAATTGACAAGGATCTTGGAAATGAGGAATTAAGGTCAGAGATTCGACTGTATAGATTCTACTCATGGCAGGGTAAGAGGCAACCGCAAATAACATGAAAGCACCTGGTAAGTATTTGACTTCTTTTTTTTCCTTTCCCTCTGCTTACACCAATGGTCTATTATACTTCATAAAAAATAGAGACAGTACTGAGACTGTTTCCAAGACAGCCTTTAGGTGGCTAACAGTGTCACACTGGCCAGTCTCAGGGACCAGTTGTGCAGTTCACTTTTGATTTGAAATACAGTTGCTGTTAAGCATAAGTTAAAAGCTGAGTTCTCAAAAGTTGTGTCATTGCATAGGAGTTTAAATATAAGCAATAGCTTATTGGCTACTAAGTGCAGTTTTTGTAGTCCTCCCATCCAAATATGCCTCTAGATTATATACTCTGGTCAGATATGCTTTTGAGAGACTGTTCAGGCAAAGGCAAGTCTACCTTCCCAGATGGTTTTCAGTGCATTTCTGCCCCACAAACCAGAGCAACTCTCCAGTTTCTTTCTTTCTGTCTTTCTTTTCCAAGGTCAAAGCTCAGACAGCTTGGTTCTCCAAGAGACTGATGGCCCCAATCCCTGAAATGAACAGCAGTCCTAAAGAGCAACAGCCTCTCTGCCAAGGGGAATGGCAACACCAGGCAAAGCCAATGGACTCACATCTCTTTTATGATTCCATGAGGCGTTCATAATCACAGGGAGTAGCTGCATTGCTAATTAGCTGTCACAGAGGTGGTGAGGGCCTCATTCATTCATTCACTCTTTCTTTCAGTGAATACATCTTCAACTGGAAACAATTCTTTTGATGATTATCTGAATGTTCTCGCAGCATGAAGGCCTGCTTTCCATGACCTCTACGTCTCATCCACACTTGGCCAACCACGGAATCAATGAGATTTGACCCACCAAACATCAGACCCTTCCTATAAAAAACTAATCTTTTTATTCAACAAATATTTCTTGAGTGATCACTACCTGTGAGCACTATGCTAGGTGTTGGGGATAAAACAATAAACAAATGAGACAAAATCATGGCCTTCAAGATGCTTGTTTTCTAGAGGGCAGAAATACACAACACATACAAAATACTAACATTTCAGATTATGGTATATTCCATGGAGAAAGCTAAAGAGGTCAAGAGAATAAGGAATGTAGGTGCATACGTGCATTACATACAGAGTAGTCCCAGAAGACTCCTTTGATAAGGCAACATTGAGCAAAACTGGAAGGAAGTCAAAAGTCAAGTAATGCAGAGGTGTGGGAAAAGAACTTTCTAGGCAGAGGGAACCGTGAATGCAAAGGTCCTAAAAGAGGAGCAAGTTTGTCTTGTCTGACGAATGATGATATGCATGGGTGAGCAGGAAAAGTGATAAGAGATGAGGTCAGAGAAACAATGGAGCCAGATTGAGTAGGACCTTAGAGGCTACTCTAGGATGCTGCCTTTTACTCTGAGTGCATTGGAAGCCACTGGCAAGTTTTGAGCAGCAATGGCTATTTAGGCTGCTCCGAGGAGAATGGAATATGGGGTGAAAGGCTGGGAGCAGGCAGACCAGTCAGGAAGAACAACAGAAATTGCTGATTGCCACATAGTAGCCATCTGCCCTTTCTTTCTTTAGCAACAGAACCCTGACTCTTGCCGGGTGCGGTGGCTCACGCCTGTAATCCCAGCACTTTGGGAGGCCGAGGTGGGCAGATCACGAGGTCAGGAGATCAAGACCATCCTGGCTAACACCGTGAAACCCCGTCTCTACTGAAAAATACAAAAAATTAGCCAGGCGTGGTGGCGGGCACCTGTAGTCCTAGCTACTCGGGAGGCTGAGGCAGGAGAATGGCGTGAACCCAGGAGGCAGAGCTTGCAGTGAGCCGAGATTGCGCCACTGCACTCCAGCCTGGGTGACAGAGCAAGATTCCATCTTAAAAAAAAAAAAAAAAAGAACCCTGATTCTTATTTGGCAGCAATGCACCCAGCTAAAGTCTAGATTTCCTAGAACTTCGTCCCCTGTCCCTTACAATTAGACAGAGTCCTGTGATTAATTTCTGGCCAATGACCTATAAGAAAGTAGATTCATAGCACACTTAGGAGCACTGCTTAAAAACAGCCTACTCAATTGGGAGGAGTTCTTTGCTCTTTTGCTTCCTTCTGCTGCCAATCTGGAACACAGACATAATGGCTGGAACCCTAGCAGCCATCTGCAACCATAAGATGCCCTTTCTGTTTTGTTTTGTTTTTCTCCCCTCCTGCATTCTTATCATTTATTTGTGGTAAGAACACTCAAAATCTATTCTCTTAGCACTTTTCATACAATGTTATTAACTATAGTCCTTATAGAACTCTTGAATTTATTCCTGCTGCCTAGCTGAAATTTTGTATCCTTCGACCAACATCTTCTCAATCCCTATCCTTCCCTCCTTAAACCCTGTTAACTATAATTCTACTCTCTGCTTCAATGAGATGGACTTTTTTAGATTTCACATTTAAGAGAGATCATGTAGTATTTGTCTTTCTGGGTCTGGCTTATTTCCTTCAACATAATATCCTCCAGATTAACCTCTGTTATTGCAAATGACAGGATTTCCTTCTTGAGGCTGGACAGTATTATCCATTCATCCACTGATGGACACTTCGGTTGATTCCATATCTTGGCTATTGTGCACAATGCTGCAATGAACATATCAAAGAGGTATGAATATTTCATACCTTTTTGAAATGCTGATTACATTGCATAAGATGGCCTTTAAAATGGAAGCCACGCGCTGAGGATGGTGGACCAGAAAGCTCAGGTGGGTCCCTGAGGATAGCACAGAAATACCACACCTAATCTGGACTGCCTATTTCTGGACTTGTTTCACATGAGAGAGAAATGGCCCGGGCACGGTGGCTCATGCCTGTAATCCCAGCACTTTAGGAGGCCGAGGTGGGTGGATTATTTGAGGTCAGGAGTTCGAGACCAGCCTGGCCAACTTGATGAAACACCGTCTCTACTAAAAATACAAAAATTAGTCAGACTTGGTAGTACACGCTTGTAATCCCAGCTAGTTGGGAAGCTGAGGCACGAGAATTGCTTGAACCGGGAGAAGGAGGTTGCGGTGAGCTGAGATCACACCACTGCACTCCAGCCTGGGCAACAAAGGGAGACTCCGTCTCAAAAAGAAAAAAAAAAGACAGAGAGAGAGAGAGAGAGAAATAAAGTTCTTTTCTGTTTAAGCCACTGGTTTTTAAATTTGGGTTTTTTCCAGCTATATGTAGCTAAACTGAAACATGATGAATATAAGTAGCCTTTGCAACAATCCAGGTGAGAGAAGATCTTGCTCTGGCCCTGGCGAGGTGGCAGAGGTGGTCAGATTTTTTCTTTTTGAAAGGTAATGCCTATAGGATTTGCAGATGGTTTAGATACAAGAATAAATGAACTATTAATAGAAAATCTGACTTCCGGTTTGGGGCCCAAGTGACTTGAGAGTGTAATGATTTACAGAAATGCAGAAGGCTATGGAGGGGACAGGCTTGGGTGTGGGACTGGGGTTGGTGGGAACGGCAGCCTAGGGCACATGTGGCAGCATGGCCTTGATAGAAGCAGGAACACAATGAAACAGGAAGGGAGGCCAAGAGCACGGGGCATAGATTGGTAGGAAATGAGTGAGCTCTCATCCTACTGCTTCTATTTTCTCAACGAAGTCTGATCCAGGTCATCCCCTGAGACTGAAGGGAAGAAAGCAGAGGGTGGAGATGGGAGGTTTGAAGACAGAGACACTATAAAATAGTCCTTTTAGTGAGTGGGATTGCTGGGCAGCCATGGGTGTGCATCCATCTGAAATTTGTGCTCTCTAATATAAAGAAAAGCCACTTACCAGCGCTGTGTGTTTTTCTGCAATCCGGTCCAGTTGCATGATTGGGTTTAACTGAACCTGGGTTTCACCAGACAAGCACTGTAGGACATAAGATGAGAGAAACAGGGAGAATGAAGGGGTGTTTGCAAGAAGGATTAGAATGATGGATCAGTAATCAAAACTGGATAAAGAAAGAAGAAACACATGAGATGGATGAACACAGAGTTGACAGTTCTTGAAAAGACTGAAAAACAGGGTGGGTTCCAGAGAAGCCAAACAGAAGGATAGAAGGTTGTGAAGGGGGAAAAGGAGATTTTGGAGGAGATGCAATTAGTCATCATTGAGGACAAGGTCAAATGAGTCACTGGAGAGAGAAGGAATTGAGAAGCTAAAGATATTGAATGGAGGTCAAGGTGCTGAATAAAGTATATTCCATTATAAGACTACTAATAAAATTCGTTTACAACTTCCTCTAATTAGATTTGTTATCTGCTTTGAATAAAGATACCATTCATTAGTCTAAGTACTTTAAATTTAATTTTTTTTTCTGAAGGGATATTTATGGGACTTCAAAGAACAAAGTTTTACCCAAACAACTAAGTTTTTGTTGGGTGAAAATACAAAGCATTTTTTTCCATGTGAAACTTCTTTGTATCTTGATATCTTTTCTTTTTCTTCTGTGAGTTTTTTTAGGTGGCGAGTCTATTAACGCAATCTTTTAAAGATTGACCTGTTTATTCTCCCTAAAATAGTTCATGTCGTAGCTTGTTTCTTCTAAGCTGGACTTTGCCCCCTTGTACTTTCCTCACAACTTTTTCATTGTTTTTTAAAATAACATTTATTCTCATATTTACTTATTTTTCTCAGATGTTTGTTTCCTTTCTTCCTGCTCCATCTCCGTGTTCCTCAGATTCCTTTCCTTAGGAGAAAAAATTGGGATATTTCCCACAGCATGCTGTGAGAAAACTCTCTGGACTTCCTGGGGGTGGGACTTGTGGACACAGAGGGTCTTGCACACTATTTTATATCCAGCGAGTGTTCAGATTACAGGGCCAGGCCTCAGATACAGGTCCAGTTGTGGAAGGTGGTCCCTGAAACATTATGAACACTGCTTTGCTCCTTCCGTCTCCTAGTCCCCCTTCTTAAGCTCAAACATTATTAATCGGGAGTCTGTTCTGGGCTACTCATTGCACTGATTAAAGTAATTCACATTAACGAGCAATGACTGATCTACTCAATTCTCTTAGGGGAAGTCACATTTCTAAAATGTGCATATTAATCCATATAAAACCCTGATTCTAGAGATAAATGTGAAACAAATGATTAACACTCTATTCAGGGTTTTCGGATACAGAACAAAAGATTTTCTCTTGTCTTGGGGCCCCAAAACAGCCTTCTCATCCCTTAGAAAGTGGGCTAGGACAATGTAAAACTGGGCAGAATATTGTGTGTGTGTGTGTGTGTGTGTGTGTACATGTGTCTCTCTGTGTGTGCAGCACCTCTCACCTCATCTACACATCTCTCTAGCTCATGATATATGTTTCAAATCATGAACCAGAGATATTCATATGTGAACGCGGTTAAGACATATTCTTAAAGAGTAAGTTCTCGGTCTAGGATAATATTTTGTAATTTTCCATATAAAATTCTTCAGATGCCCAACTTGTTGAAGGTTTTCAGGAGCCTAGTCTTAGAATCACAGAGGTTCGTGGCTCCTGGTTCCTCCTTAAATCCAATTGTTCATTACTGGAATATACAAATGAGTAGGGAGCCAGAGATGATAGGCACCAGAAACTGAGGTTTCCATTTCTCAACGTGGCCTGAACTAAATGAATTCAATCTCATCCTCCTATGGGAAGTGGAGGAAAAGGGCTCTGGCTGGGAAGTACTGCTGTGCAGTGGTTAGTATAGTGGGTCTGAGGGTCAAATAGATTTGAGTGCAACTCCCAACCCAACTCCCACTACTAGCTTTGGGACCTCGGGTGAGTCACACAGGCCTCAGGTGCTACAGCTTCTATAAATAGTGATATAGTATTCTTACATAAAGTGTGGCTGATTAGAGCAGCCCTTCCATGGATCAACCACCCCATCAGAGGATCTGTGCCTACGATAGAGCCTTGTCTGCCTCGGGAGGTTCTTTCAGGTCCAGAAGCTTCCCCATGGAGGGAAGAGAGGCAGCAATGAAATCGGCGTATAGGGGGACTGGGCTCTTTCCCCTTCATGTCTACCAGGGCAATGACCTCCTAGAGTCCGCTATGCACCCCCCACTTGCCTCTCTGGTCACTGAGAGGTGAAGTAGCTGTAGGACCAGGAAAAGCAAGAAGAGAGCGTCCTCTTCTGCTCCCCTTCCCGGGAATCTGGGCGCTGAGCCTGGCTCTCTGGGGCGTGTTTGAACATAACTCGCACCGCTTACTCTTTTCCCATCTCAGCAGTCTTGAGCCTGAATCCTAGTACCTTTTGCCGGCCTTGTGTAAGCAGCTTGCACGGGATATATAAGGAGAATCAAGTTTCTGAACTTCAAAAAATGTAAAGTCAGTCGTGCTTCTTCCTGCCGGTGACTGTTTACGAGAGGGAAGTCAGCGGGGCCCCGAAGAGGTCGCTGGTGGCGCAGAAACCGCGGCCAGATTGTGAAGAACAGGGGAATGAAAAAAAAAAAAAAAACCAGAAAGTTTCTTCCTTGTTGCGAATAATCGCCGCCCCCCCACCTCCGCCCCCAGCAGAAGCGGTAACGTGACACCCGAGCGAAATCCCGAGACCCGAGCGGAGAGGGAGGGGAAAGGGAGGAGAGAGCTGCGGAGCGCCGGAGGGAGAAAGGGGAGGAGAAGGAGGAAAACCCCTGTCAAGGAGGTGGAGCGAGGGGATGGTGTCCGCCTCCTGTTCCTCCCTGCCGTTTTTTAGAGAAGCCTGAACCGGGACAAAACACGCTGAGACCTACAGACACAAAGCCGGGGGGTCCACGCTGGCGCTGGAGGCGAGCCCCGGCGGCCGCAAGCGAGCCCGAGGCGCTGCAGGGCGCGGGGCGTGGGGACGCTAGCGGGCGCGGGACGGGCGCGGCGCCCCGGCACGGGCAGCGCCGCGAACCGGGGCCGGACACCTCGGCTGCTCGGGCCGCGGCGGCGGGGACCATGCCGAGGAAAGTCTCCTGAGCCCGGCAACTTCGGCCCCTCCCCGCCCCCACCCGCTGCCCTCCGCGCGGCCCTCCCCATGTGCAGCCGGCCAGCCGGGCTCTCCTCCTCGCGGCGGATGGGTGACCTTTTCCTGGCACGAGCAGGCTGTGCGAGGCGGCGGAGCAGGCGATGAAGAAGAAGCAGCAGCATCCCGGCGGCGGCGCGGATCCCTGGCCCCATGGGGCCCCTTTGGGGGGCGCCCCTCCGGGCCTGGGCAGCTGGAAACGCCGGCTGCCCCTGCTGCCTTTCCTGCGCTTCTCCCTCCGGGACTACGGCTTCTGCATGGCCACCCTGCTGGTCTTCTGCCTGGGCTCCCTCCTCTATCAGCTCAGCGGGGGACCCCCTCGCTTCCTGCTCGACCTGCGGCAGTATTTGGGTAAGAAAGCTGGCCAGGCTCTAGGGCGGCGCCTACTGCGCAAAGTTGTGAGGCGGGGAGAGGGGCGCGCCGGGGACTTCTCGCGCTGCCACCGCGCGCCGCCGCCGCCGCCGCCCCGGGGCTCTCCAGGTGCGAAGCCCGCGAGCATCTGTGCCGCGGTCTGGAGCGCCTTTTTCCTCCCGCGCGTCCGGCTGGCCTCACCCAGGCGGTGGCGCCGCTGGGTTGCACTGCCTACAGGTACCCCGGGGCAGGGCACCGCTCACCTTCCGCCCGTCCCACCTCCGCCACCCCCGCCCCGGCTGGGGCGGAGTGGATGGGTGTGTGGGGTGTGCGGGAGTGTGTACCTTCAGGCTTGGCGGCGCGGGGAGTGGCGAAGGAAAGGGACAGTCCGCTCCGTGGCATTGTTAGTGACCACAGTTCCGTCCCGTCCCGCGCGCGGGGGAGTGCGGGTGGGTTTAGCCCCTCCCCACGGTCCCCTCTGAGAATTCTGTCCCGCGGATCCTGCCCGCCAGCCCTGTTGACTCCGTGCTGTCCCCGGGCTGGCTTGTCCCTTGGCCGCCTCTGCCCACCCCGTCGCCCGCAGCTAGCCTGGCGCGGGGAACGGGCTGCATCTAGGGGTTTGGGGCTGCCAGAGGGCGCGGGTCAGCCTGGCCAGCAATGTCGCCTCCAGTAACCCGAGGATCCTCGGCGCTGTGTGCGTCTCAAGCTCAAGTCAAAACTTGTGTGTGTGTGGTTTATTAGGAGAGAGGACGCCTATCTTTAGCAGAAGTAAGGAAGGGGTTGTGATGGGAGGGAAAAGCCCTTCCAGCAAGAAGACGTGACCCCGCAGCTCCCTCGTTTCGGCTACGGGAGCCAGGGGTGCCAGGGCTGGGCGAGCGCAAGCCCAGGTCGCAAGGACGATGCTGGCCTGCGCGTTCGAGCCAAGGGAGGATGCAGATCCCTCAGAAGTCTGTGGCCAGAAGAGGTCGTGCGGGGGTGAAGGCTGGGAGAGCTCCAGCTTCTTGCAAGCATTCGAAGTGATAAGCCTGAGCATCTGCACGATGAGAGCGAGTGTGGGGAAGCAGAGCCACCGAAGTGCTGGAAGGAAAATGGGCCAAATGACCCGGGCCAGCTGAAGGCTGCCACAGTTACCCCAAATGTCGCTTCGTGGCAGAAGCCACAGGTCTAGATAGCAAACCGTTTGGAGAATAGAGAAAAGAAAAGAAAACCCAAAACAAACAAACAAAACAAAACAAAAAAACAAAACTACATCAGCAAAGTTACAAATGTGTTAGGGCATTTGGAAATGTAGACGTGGATAAAATAATGTTCTTTATCTTGTACAAGACCTCATATTTTAAAAGTTACACTTTTATTTCTTTATAAACTTTGGGGAACTATAGATTAGAGGAAAAGTTTGCCCAAGTAGATTTCCATAGCATTTGGTTTCATAGAGGATTTGGGGCAATATACCCTTTATTAGGGAATCAAACCTTTTCTTTTCGTAAGTTCTATATTGTGGAGTCTCATAACTTCCTCCACTCTCTGACACCTGCTAGTCCCACAAAAGTTAACAGTATTTTCATCACCAGCAGCAATCCCTGTTAACAGGCATTGGGAGGCAAGCGTTGAGGCTCAGCGTCTTTCTCCATTAAGTCTGACAATGAATTCTTGCAGAAGTTCTTTTTAAGTAATATATGGAGGCTAGGGGTGTAGGGAAAAGTGTAAGGGACCAGAATGGAAAACGCCTGTGCTCATTGTCCTCAAAGCACTTGGCCTTGCGTAGGGTACTCAAGATTTCATAGGCCTGGTGTTTCATGGCAGAATTAGAAGCCAGACCTGACTGTCAATGAAACTTCCCACCCAGCTCCTAAAGTTTTGGGGTTCTAACACCTTTCTTGAGGAAGGGAGATTCTGGGAGGAGGAAGGAGCAAAGGTACTACTGAGGATAAAATCAAGAAATTTCAACATATATCGCATTAACATTTTCACTGTATGTTTCCAAACAATGAGGCCTGATAAATTTGGGTGGTCAGCTGGTAGAAGGGTGAATTCTCAGCTTCTGCTCAGGAAACTAGGAAGAACTGAAAGATTGAATGCTGCTTCTGTTACTAGCTGATCATTACATTTCTGACTGATGTGATAGGTTCAAAATGACATCATGGTGAACTGAAAATAGGATACCCTTGACCAAATTTGTCCCCTGTTGTCTTGTCACGTAAATATAATGATTTTTGGGAAAAGTGGGCTTGTGGTATTTTGGATGGTCTAAAATATACCTTTAATAATATAAGGCCACTGTATCTGCAGAATTACTTTCCCGTTTTCCTCCATTATTTTATTTTAGTGTCTGTCAAAACAAAACTCGTGGTTAGTAAACACATCCTCTCAATTTCCTCAGCCAATTTTGGAACCAAGTATTTTTCTTAAATGTGAGTTCATGTAAAGTCAAAATTTTCCAAATCAAAATATGTTTATATCAAACACTTTACAGAATATTATTTCATTATACTTATACAATATTCTATGTCTGACACACAATGGCCACTCAATAAATATAGGTTGAATTAATGACCCAACCTATTGTATCAAACAGGTAGTGTGATACTTAACATATTGAATATTCTCACAGGAAAGCCAAGAGTAACATTCTTAGTAAAAGCTAATATTTATCATGCATGTACCAGTCAGTGCATACGCAGGGTGACATTCAATCTGCACAGCAGCACTGTTGGTAGGTTCTATTGTTATTTCCATTTTCTATACGGGAAAAATGAAGGCAAAGTGTTATGAAGGACACATAGCAAGCAAGGACTTCAACCCATGTCTATCTGATTGCCGTACCCATTGATTAGCACTGTGGGCAGTTTAAGGAGAAAATGGAAGGACAGCCAAGATGCAAAAGGGAATCTAAAGATCTGGACTGGCTAAAAACGATCAATCACATTTATGTCCATAATTCCACCTTCCTTTTCTTGATACTTGAACTCTGAGTATCTTGAGGAGCCAGCAGAGAAGAGAAATAATTCAAGCAACTGGTCTGCTTTAACTCTACCTTCCTGTATTACTCCGCACTATGCGGCCGCCATTTACATAGGGAACTAGACCCTCCCTGAGCTGGGCAACAACTGGGAGTAATGTTGATCAGACTCGCATCTCCCGGGTGTTTTCTCTTTCTTTAGCAGTTGTGCTGTGTCTAGGCTAGTGGTTCCCAATGTGGGTCCTTGGACCTGCCGCATCAGAATCACCTGGGAACTTGTGACAAACGTACATTCGAAGGTCTTATCCCAAAGCTGCTGAATGAGTCTGGGCACACGGCCCAGCAATCTGTGCGGCAGCAAGTCGTCCAGGTGATTCCAACGCAGAGAATTTGAGAACCGTTGTTATTAAGCAAAGTATTGCTTTCAGGAGGCTTCCCATGTGTTTGAGAGAAAGGAGGAATGTGAGGGGGGGTGGGTAGATTTATAAAGTATTTAAAGGTAATAATGTACATGGTTTCACTTTTTAATTTCACCTTTTAAAAATGCACCTTCTTTGCTACTTAAGCTCCACTGTTTTGAGGGAAGGACCAGCCAACAGCACCCACCCCAGCTGGCTTTAGACCTTCCGAGGTTAGGAGAGGTGTGATGTGGGGAGTAGGATGACGTGGGGCAACAGGAAAGCGTAGTATGGGGAAGGAAGAGAACAGTCACTGATGATATTTTCTCTTCTGCACAGGAGACAGCGGTGAACAGTCCTTCTTCCTAGTCAATTTGGGGAAAGGCAGAGTATGTTCCCCTTAAAGAATGTTCTGCTGTAACACATTTGAAAAGAGTAAAGGAAGTGGTGGGGAGGAAAATCATGCAAGGATAACTGTTATCTTGACTTCCCACCCTCAGATTGGATGGAGGGGGAACACAAACATACAATGGGGTAAATAGAAATATATAGCAAATGCTGCACTTAAATTTGGAGACCACGGTCTTTCCAATTCAGTGATTTTTTTTTTTTTGAAATAGCATTCAAACTTTGTTTTGCTATGGAAAACAAACAAAAACTCAAATAAAATCTCCCCCAGAAATTAGGTTATGATGCAGCCTTGCTGCCAGTAGCCTTATTACTTATGAGCTGTGGAAATATCAAAAACTTGGAATAACACTCATTACATTGATATAAACAGAATAAGCCAGATGGCTTACTACTGATCTTGTACAACCGAGAAGCTCTAATGATTTATCATCCAGCCTTGGATATGTGATTTAGACTTTATGGGAGCTAAACTTGTTGGATTCATTCCAAGCTGATATGCTTTCCTTTCCATTTTTAATTTATACCACTTTAAATGGAGATATAGAGCTTTAGTTCTCAGAATTGCCAATCTTTACATATATTATATATGAGCCTGGCAATTTAGAGTCAAAAAATGAAAAGTATGTCATTTTATTGAATTTGAAATTCTCTAAGTTTAAGTGCATTTAAAGGAAAATGTGAAAATAGAGGTCCATATCTGTTACAAAATAGTTTCTTTGAACCTTAAAAGCCGAATTTTATTTTTCTTCTGCATTTCACACATGATATAAATATAGTACTTTAGGCTCCAAACAGTAATCTAGGAATTGAATACATAAAATATGATGTTATCAATAGAAATTGTTGACATAGAAAAAATGATATTCTTGTTCATGTTACAAGTTTATATTGTGGGGTTGGTTGGGGACACAGTGGCACTGTATTAGAGAAAGGATAGAAAATGGAATTCAGCTATGGTAATCCGTCCTGTAAACAAATAGCATGAATGGTGAAAAGCACTCTGCCTTGTAAACTGTTTTTTAATGTAGACTAGTCTCAGTATGAATTGTCTAAGAACACATATAAATGTGGATTA